CCTCATACCTCTGGCAGCTGAGCGACTGGAGCTATAAAGGGGTCCGAGGCGCCTCATGCCGCGTTTGTGTCTCTGCAGTGAGTCGCAAGGTAAGAGCCAGGCGCCGCTTTCGCGTCTCAGCCCAGGAGCTGCCGGATATTGCACACATTGCAGACTCTTTTCTTGCACACTGAATATTAATCAAGACACAATAAGACGTGTAATTACCTAATTAAACCGTACAGTGGTCTTGGCTAGACGACCGGCAGAACTGATTAGTACCAGGAACTAGCGGATCAACTGTCCTACACTGCAGGCAGCAACAATACTCATCCTTCGTTACCTGGCATAATCAGCGTCGTGCCCTTATCTAGAGTTGACGGCGGTAGAAAAGAGAAGAACTGTGTGGCAAACATGTAAACTGTGTGGCAGAGGTGATAAAAACCCTCTACTCGAAGCGAAGACGGTTTTTTGCTGACGGTAATAAATAGCTGCTCCACTTACTCGATGGGATTTTGCGGTTCCTGCATCCTGATGTCCATAGTCTAAGGGAAGGCTCCAGGCCAGTATTTGCTCACAGGAATACATTATTTTCATTTTAAATTACATACTGTTTATAGTGCTCAATATGCCCTGTTTTCAGATAGTAAATGCTGTTGATGTCCGCATTCGATGATCGTGCACGATACTTCTAATAATGTCAATTGTGTACTCTATGACACCGGTGACATACACGGGCTAATAACCCTACATAAAGTTATCCTTCTACTCGATAATGCCTATCCTAAGCCAAAGATCGAGTCAATGAATGGTATCATCTGTGCAGCTTCTCCTATGCAGTGAAATAAATCACAATAACCGTGATGCAACATAAAGTGTCAGCCTTTCAAACACCGTGCCCGGAGGTAAAAAAGATAATAATATAGATAACTTTATAGCACGGAAGTAAAGTCAAGAAATCTAGAGGGCGAGATGTCTTGTATGGACAAGACACGACCCGCGAGTAAGCCCCACGAGAGAGCAGATTACCGCGCGTACGTAAGCCTAAGCAAAAGGCACGGATTCGCCCGAATGGAGCCGGACCTGCCTGCCTCGTGAACCAACTATATGATAAGGCAAAAGAAAAAAGAAAGAAACAACCAAGGAGAAAACCTGGATCAACGCGGCGTAAGCACGCCGAACTCCAGCCTTAATCGTTATCTCGAGCAAGATAGCAAAGTCCGCTATCATTAACTGGCCGTCGGCTAAGGGAACAAACTCGAATACTCTCATATTGGCGGCAGCGCGAAACAACCCTCTCGATCAAAGAGACGGACTACTCTCCGCGCGCGTCCTTTGAGTCAAAGTTGCCCCGTGACAGCTCTGATTGAATACAAAGGACTACACCATCGTAATGTCACACTAGGAACTACTCGCGAATATCCTGAGGATATAAAGATACAAAAGATATACATATCAATAATCACCAGAGCCCATGCAAGTCATGCGCACATACACAAGCAATTAAAATATAGAGGTATCCCCGAAATAACCTAATCGACGCAAACTCCCGCTCCCCTGATAATTGCCCATTTGCAGCATGAGAAGCAGACCGCCTTCCCTTCCTCTCCTCCTCCAGTGCCCGCTCTTTGCCTCCGCCGCTCGCTCAGCGTCAGCGCCGCCGGAAACGCGCAACGTAAAGGGTTAGTTCCGCCTCGGGGCTCAGCCATAAGGCCCTGGCGATGGCGCCGGCGAGGGGGGCGCCCTCCGTCGGCGTCGCGGCCGCCCCTCTGCGCCTCAGGCTCCAGCGGGACGCCAGTTAAGGCAGGCCCTCGTGCCGTCTTTGATTTAAGTCATTTGCATTCATCTTATTGGCGCGTTTTGCCTTCAATCGAAATTTAGAAACGATCGCTAAGCACTAAAGAAATACAGTTTATAATGAATATACAAATATACTCTTATATATATATATATATATTATATATCTTATATATTACCTCATCATATAATAGCATCGATGTTGTGTGTGCTGATAGTCGCATATATGATGTGTGATTTCGTGTAGACTGTAGGTGATAGCTGCTAAGCGACCAAACCAACACACGCGAAGACAAACTAGCATATGTTGTAGTGGGAAGGTGTGTTGCACGTCGTGTGACGCTCTGAAATCGCCGAGATGGGAAATAAAGATGTGCGGTGTGTGTGTGTAGTGCACATATACATTTAATACATACATACGTACTATATATACATACTATGCATTCATTATTACATATAACATTATACATGTATATAAATGTATATTAATTGCATATATATTATATATATATATATTATTATTAATATTATATTATTATATATATATATATATATATTATTGTGTGTTGTGGTGTGTGTTGTGTGTGTGTGTGTATGTGTAGTGCGTATGGCTGTGGTGTGTGTTTGTGTGTGTGTGTCTGTGTGTGTGTGTGTGTCTCCTTTTTGTGTGCTTATCCTGTTCTCTTTCACACCGACCACCCCTCGACGCACCGTCGAGTACTAT